CCTTTACAGTCTAACATACTATAGCTAGTAAGTAGAAATTCATAATTATATTTGAAATCCGAAATCTACGTATTTCAAAAATATTCCGAAACAACATATGCTTTGTATTAATTTTCATTTGAAGAATACTTTCCTCAGTTGCTGTTAAATTTATAACGACGTTCTTGGACTTTCTTACCTGCAAAGCAGTTCGTWATTAAAAATCTACTTAGGTTTGCTTCTAAGCATTTAAAATATGTACCCTAGTTCATTTTAATTTGACTTAGCTGGTTTCTTCAACTTCAACAAGAGATGTTTCTCTCTTTGTCCACATGTTCCACGAGCTCAAGTACATACGACGACGTATACCACATAAGTAATTTTACGCTGAATTCTTCCGTGAATAACTCCAAATTTGTCAAATTTCCCTAATAAACCTTTAGCTYGTTAATTCTTCTTTGGGCTTTATTACTTGCTGCTGTATTTTTTCTCATAATTCTGCTTTCATAAGAGTTTCTTTCTTGAAACGAACAAGCATCCGTTAACTGTAACACTATGTTGTTGTGATTTGAATATTCCTTGCAAACAATGACAGGAAATGACCTTTGGACTTTTAATCCAATTATAAGTATCTAAACTGAAGTTATATGAAATTATAAGTATCTAAATCAAGGTTATGCAAACTAAATTCCAAACCCAATGTTCCTAGCTCAATAAACAACCATCAAGCGATTGCATTTCTGTTTCTAAAACGAAAAAATTGTGCTTTGTTTGCGCCCGGCATACAGTATTATATTCAAGGTTGTTTTCATGGTACTGATATTTTTCATCACACTGCCAGTCACATGACTGAAATGAAATTAATGGCCACGGCAGTCGGCTAAAATAGATCAAGGCTGCACGCCGCCAAAATAGCAACACTAGGGGCTGCTGATGGGTACAAGCACATCTTCTATTGCTATATTATTTTCTCTTTACGAAACCGCTTTCCTTAGCTCATTTAGGTTCTTTTATGTAATTTTCTTGCATGTCTCCCGTTCCCTCAGTCCTATCAAACGTGTCCAATGTCTCCTCATCATCTTCTTCCAGTGCCTTTCCCATTCCCTCTTCTTCCTTCTCTTCTAGTTCCTCTTCCTCTTCCTCTTTATCTCCTTCTTTCATGTTCATGACTTTTCGCGCTTGGCGCACCGTCTTTTGAAGAACTTCCTCTTCAAAAATGGAGAGGCAGTTCCTCTCTAGCCCAAGGATAGTGGACATAACTGCGTCTATATCAACCAAATAAAAAAAGAAGACGTTGATTTACCTAGTCAGGTTTACTGGCTAGTAGGGTGGCATTTCAATATATGTGTATAAATTTCTTGTATTTATTTATCGTACTTCTTAATTAGTACAATTTATGTAAACCACTCTAGTCTTGGAACAAGCAAAATATAGATTAGAGCTAGTGTAAATATGCGAGGTTTGTCTCATTAATTTTTTTGATCAGAGTAAAATAGTAACACAATAGTTCACTGTATGAAAAAATTCTTTATACACTACCAGTCGTTATTCTTGAGATGTCCAATATCCACTGTCCCTTAAAAGAGAACAATTCCGTCATCTTTTCGATTGCTTCGTCTTCTTTAATGACATTCATTTTCTGGTCACCAATTAGGTTATCGTTGAGTGGCTCACCATATCTGGACCACTGTCCAATGACCATGGGGAAAACCACGTTATGAAGTAGTGCTCTTTCTAAACAACAAAAAAATGTAATCTTAGCGTAATACGGTATGCCTTATGAAGATAAAGATAACTGTGCTACCGTTTTCGTTTTGCCCCACTTCAGGGCGGTTTCTTTTCGGTTTAGTACACCTGATAATTTATTTGACTATTATTTCTTAAACCAGGTAATCAAGACAACTGGCAATCGTATATAATGTCAGATCCGAAAAGTCTTAGAATATACAATGATTGACAACACCTTATCAGTCTCACTTACGTGTTCTTGCCTTCAGGTTTAAATTTGCTTCAAAAAAAGCCATTTGAGTAATAATTGATATCTTTTCAAGATTGCCACGGACATCGGCATTCTGCCAATGGAAAATTACATTGTAAAAATCCATACCAGCATTTAACGAATGCAATGTTGTCAGAAACCTTTTTAATGAGAGGTCATCTACATCCTAGAGAATGGGGAAAATATTTGCGTTAATTTAGATAACACTCCTGAGGCTGTCACTCAATTAATGCATCATTGTGATCGTCACCCCCTCTCCCTCCTCATACACTTCCCGTTCTGAATTGCCCATTATCACTTTGGTTCTTACCTCATGTAATGTGACCACAGTGAGGGCGAATCCTTTAAATTCTGGGATGATTCGCTTTATGAGCTGCATGTTAAGGCTTGAGAATTCTCCAGCAACCATGACCCCGACTGCAAGTTCAGTCTTCTTGAAGTAATGAACGCCCCTTTCCCCTTCTACGTTGAGGCAAAGAGATGTGGAGGTATTGTGCAACTTTTGCACCTCCACGGCTCGTCGAAAGAAGTTTTCTATTTCCTGTGCAGACAATTGATAACAGTTATATTATATAATACATAATGTATGTTATATTACATATGGTATTGTTATATATGTAATAAACATTTACCATGGGTATTGCCTTCCTTTTAAATTTGAGGGAACTGAACTGGGCTAACTTCTCCTCGGTGGCATGTCTTGGTATATCTCATGAACACTTCGGCCAATTTCTTTTTCATTTTTGTCCTTGCCGCAATTTCCCCAAATTCTTTTAACGATATAGTCTTGTCGACCAGCTTTTGCAATAACTCAATTTTGGAGTCGTCATCGAGACCCTGAAGTGGCATCCCAATCTGTGGATAAATTGTGTATTTTGTTGATTTAACGGCAGATATTTATAAAATTACTGTCAAAGCGCATTTCGTCCATTACTTGACATGCCAAGATAGAAAAACTCAGAAACCCTAACTACTAGAATTTTAGCTGGTAAATGAATGTAAATGGTTTCAAATCTTCCAGTTTATTGTGAAAACTCTAAGTAAATCAACTCAATAGACTAATATAATCAATAACACTTGAGCCGTTTAGACTATAAACTAGTAAAAGCGATGCTCGGTTTTGTTAGTCAACAGGCTGAATTATTAAACTATAGAATTTGTTCTTTTCTGACAAAACTTTGTTATTTATATTGCATTGTATATGTAATTTGTGCCGTGCTTTGTTAATACCTGTGTTTGTTTGAGCTCAAGATTTCGCCTTCGAGAGGGCTTGCTTTCGGCCATGTCTTTCAATTCGGATTTTCTGTACATCTCATCCACTTTAACAAACAGCTCCCACACAGGCTCCAGACTCACAACATCCTATTAAAAAGGACAACATTTTTCATTTTGTTAATTAAACCATAATCTGTTATGATTCTTACGATATCCAATTTCAATTTGAACTTCCCTGTCAAAAGATTAAAAGGAATAAACGAACGAAAAAGTAAAAGCAGGGCCGTAGCCACCAGTACAGTTGGTGCGGTTATAACCGGACAACTTTTACAACCAGAACTACTTTCCCTCTTGATTGAAAGAAAAATATCTATTATATCTATTATCTGAGAAAAACCGGACCAGTTTTTAAAAAACCGGACTACTTTCCAAATGGCGGCTACGGCCTTGAGAAGAATAGATGATCTATGTAAATGATAACTGACACTACTCTAAAATTAATTTCCAAATTGGCAAAGATTTGTCCGGAACCGTGTTGACTTCTCAGTGAGGCATCAGCACACTCAATTATTAATGCAAAAATAAACTTTCCAGAAATACCTAGATAATGCATGGCAATTCCATTGTCGTAACTTTTCCCGCGGTGTTTCTTCGGTGGGGAAATGAGTTCTTTCAATGTAGTGTTCATGCTTGGGCTCTTGGTTTTCAGACAACTGGCTTTAACGGCTTTGGTGTTGAAGTTGCCACCGCTGATGTAAACGTATAAGTATCCGAGCTAGTGTTTTTTTTGGTCTCGTTGAATGAGTTAATTCTTCTGCTGTCATGGGTTTTTTGAAACTCTTAGAAAATTCAGAGCCATTAGAATCAAAATTACTAATCAGGTTACCTGTAGAATACACAAAGAACCACTTTAGTGTTACATGTAATTAAACACTAGAGAAAAGATTGAAGAATCAGTGAACGTTAGAAAAACTATTTAGTAATTTATTCAAGTTTTGAATATTTATTAAACAGCAAAAAACTAACTCAATAATTCCTCTGTGATTATGGTATTATAAAGTAATACTTATTACTTATTACTTATAAATAGACGCTATATAATATATATCTTTGTTACTAGTCTGATCATAGTTATAACTAAAATAAAATATGCTATGGTTCGGTGTAATGTCAGCCGAACTTTCAATGTGTTCTACGGCGTGAAGCAAATTGCAAATGTTTTTAAGGAATATAATATAAGATATTCTAATATAAGATAAGGAATGTTACCAAAATTTTATAAATGGGTAAATATATTAATTCCCTTATGCCATTATTATTAAAGTAAATTGTCCAGTGCATAAAAAGACTCACCAAGACTGAGCGAATGTCAGCACGTGATCGCCTTGAAGTTGACTTAAGCGCATCAACTGTGATAACCTTCCCGGCTAGTTCTCCATTTGCCGTTTTCAGTCTGGAGTTTTCGTATTTCACAAAAACTCCATCTTCTTCGGTCTCATTTAAAAACCATGGTCCATCTCCTGCAAGTTCTTGTGACTTCGTATTTGAACCCATTAATTTTTTCTGTCAAATATAAGATTACCAGACAGTTACTGTAAGTCCAAGCACAATTTACTTCATTTTACCTGTTTTAACAATAACTAATACGACTTACCTTATACATTTTGCCCAGGTTAAACTACCCAACAAAATTTACCAACTTGCAGAAATTTAACTTCGCATTCTGAATCTCTGTCCACAAGGAATGACAGCTAGTAGTCAACTGCGAATGTAACCACTGTTTGATGATTGCGGTTCAGCATTCTTTAAAGCCTAGGGCATCCAGGAAATAGCCTCACATTCGGACTTGTTCTATTTAGACAACGGTGGCGTTAATCAAACTTATTGTTTGTTATTGATCAAGTGTTCATTTAAGGCCAGACAAACTACCGTTGATACCAGAGGCCCATGCCGGTACAAACCACAGACAATATCACGAACAATAGGGATCCAACAATAGTAATTTAAGAGTTTGCAAATAGTCTTGCGTCCAGTTCTACCGCGCGCTCACTCTGAGTGGCAGACGCATTACCGATATTTCTAGCGAAATTTTCATAAGTATTATTCAATACCTCAGTGTTACTTTTTAATTCAGAAAAATGAGCGATAAAAGTAGTGACGACGATCGACCCTTTGATGGATTTACTATCAGAGACCAAAGACCGTTTTTGAAAGAGGCAGAGCAGACTACACTATACAAATGTAAGTCCCTAAAAAGGAGGTCTTCACTACCAGAGGAAGATCCGCTGTTGAATGAAACCAAACCGCGCATGGATACTGCTGAGACCTTGGCACCAAGTGATATTGAAGGAGAGGAAGAGCTCTTTGAAAATTGTATGCAACAACTTTTTCCAGTTGTCACCGTTACTCCCTGTGGAATTGCTGCTTCTGAGGGTGACAGAGAGTCTGACATAGAAGGCGAGGAAACTATATRTGATGATTTTGATCGACCAGAAGAAGAGTACGAGAAGACCATGGAAATAATGCCCGAGAAAGATATTAGTTCCGCGTCAAGTATCGAAGGAGAAGAGACATTTACATCATCCATTGCCGGCTTTGAAGCGGATGYGTCTGAAGGGGAAAAAGATACAGAGAACGAAATCCAAAACCCAAAAGTAAAAAAGATTCGAGGTTAGAAAAATGATCATTTTTCAGGTTAAGATGATCATTTAGCGCGTTCTTTGAATTACTTTATGCGCACTCTCTACAGCACTTATAAAGCTTGATAGTACTCATTTTGAAGGCGATAGAATAATACCGTACTCGTGGATTATTGTTTAATATCATGTTGATTATCAGTTTTATTTTTAAAATTCATAACTTGAAATTAATGATCATATATTCAGATACCGAGGTACTCAGATAAGTTTGTTTCACCATATTTACAGCTAAGCGCCGAAGCAGCATTCAAGATCCTCGATCTCTTGGAAGTAAAATCTGTTGTACCAAAAGCTGTTTCATAAAGCTAACTGAAGCTCAATGAATCAAGGCTCGCAAACTTTTTTGAGTAAAAAAATCCAATATATCACTATCAGCGTGGTTTTGTTCTTAACTAGTTTGAAAGCAACCAGCCGTCTGGACAATTCTAGTTATGAACTTCTGGTATTGGCTTGTTTMTTGAGCCTCTTGGTAAGTGTATAAAGTTTCTTTATAGAACGAACGTTTGCGAATCTACTTTTTTGTGGAACATTTTAAGAAAATCTGTATTTAATACTGTTTGTAATAAAAAAACCGAATGCAAGTTGATCAGCACTCAGTTTAGATACTTATAATAGGATTAAAAGTCCAAAGGTCAYTTCCTGTCATTGTTTGCAAGGAATATTCAAATCACAACATAGTGTTACAGTTAACGGATGCTTGTTCGTTTCAAGAAAGAAACTCTTATAAAAGCAGAATTATGACAAAAAATACAGCAGCAAGTAGTAAAGCCCAAAGAAGCATTAACAAGCTAAAGGTTTATTAGGGAAATTTGACAAATTTGGAGTTATTCACGGAAGAATTCAGTGTAAAATTACTTATATGTGGCATACATCGTCGTATGTACTCGAGCTCGTGGAACATGTGGACAAAGAGAGAAACATCTCTTGTTGAAGTTGAAGAAACCAGCTAAATCAAAATGAACTATGGTACATAATTTAAATGCTTAGAAGCAAACCTAAGTAGATTTTTAATAACGAACTGCTTTGCAGGTAAGAAAGTCCAAGAACGTCATTATAAATTTAACAGCAACTTTGAAATGGAAGTTTAAACGTTTTTGAACATGGCCATTCAAAAATAAAAGAATAACTARMYGACATAAACAGCTTAATSTTAATATTTTTTGAAGARTGCTTWAGTTATCTCTCATATTTCCTGTCCTATAGCTTGCAGATGCCATTTACTATTCACCACTTCTCCTTATTTTGTTAATTTGTGAAGGTATTATATTAGTTCAACRAATTCCTAAATGTAAGAATATTTATTTATTGTTTTATTTAGATTTAGAATGGTACAAACCTTCTAGCAGACGTATCAGCCAAAGCAAAAAAGCCTAAACTTTACGCAACTAGTTTGCTGTCAGTACTGTTTACTGACGAAGAAATGTGTCTTAGATGTGTGGAACCTAAGGAAGGGGCCACAAGAAAAACAGCTCTTGACCAGAGCAAGATCAACTTATTAAAGAGTAAGTGTTCAACTATTAATATGATGATGAATTAACCACCATTCCCTTTCATTCAATCAGTGAAATAATAMGTTTTCCATTGTACAATTAACAGGTTTCAATGTTTCATTTATCATAAAATAGAAGCACCACATTACATAAAATAATAGAGTGCACATATCACATAAATGTGACACAATTCTTAACTWTTTAGCACCTAATAAATTTAATTATAAACCCTGRCCCCCAACCCCCAGGGAAGGRYGAGGAAGTAGCACAAGTGCAAGGTACCAGACATTTTCCTTTTTCTTGCACTTGTTCTTGCRTTTGGTTGTACTATTAAAAACTTTTTGTGCTTGCACTTATTCACATCTCATTTTCACTACTTGTGCTTGTTCTTGCTCTTGCGTCGCTAGTGAAAACCTGACTTATACTAAGMATTTACAGAAATAAACACAGTGCTTCAAAGGAATTTCTTTGTCATTGTGTCATGCCTCGTGGAAACTGCAAGACACTGGTTTGCATTAATAGTGTTAAGGTGTTTTTAAAGTCCCTACAATCCCTAGTTGTGCTGCTATTTTTGCACAAAGTACTAATAGATATGAGAATTATTTAAATGATTTATTGAATGAATTTATATTTTTGATATTKCAGGGCGTATCAAAGCAAAGTACGGAGAAAAGGTCCTGGAYAAAGGATGGTCAGACATTYGTATCRGCSTTWATCAGAAAAAAATTAGAAAAAATTCAGAAAAATTAATGTGYSCGTTCATAATGTCAAAGAAAATATTGAGTAAATTTGTCATGTTTCTGTTTCAATTGTTGAGATTGACTTGTTTTATTTAGTTCTGCTATTTAAGGGAGACTAGCACCAACATTGTACGATTTTTAATTTATCTGAAACTAAATTTCCTACAATAATCTTTTYATTTGTGATAATCCATGGTTAAATGTTTTTCTTGATATTACGAAGGGAAGTATTTATGAGTACAAACACTTTAAAAAGTACCATTTCATCTTTTTGTTAACTGAAAATAGTCAATAGGATATTGAATATGGTTGTTTTTAATATGTTTAGAAATAAACAAGTTTTAAAAGAATTTGGCATTCTAATATATGTCTCAAAATCTAGAATATTATAGGATCCTTTGTATGATCTTGGAGAAGTTTAACAGGATCTTAAATAGGATCCTATTCAAGGTCCTATAGGTTCCTATTCAAGATCCTTAAGAATCCTATTCAAGATCCTATAGGATCCTATTCAAGATCTTATAGGATTCTATTGAAGATCCTATAAGATCCTAATCAAGATCCTATTTTTTGTAGGATCCTGCTCAATATCCAATAGGATCCTGTAGGATCTTAAATATAATTCTATAGGATCCTGTCCAAGATCCTATAGGATCCTGTCCAAGATCCTATAGGATTCTGGTCAATGTCCTATGGGATCCTATGGGATCTGTTCAAGATCCTTTAGGATCCTGTTTAAGATCCTATAGGATCCTGTAGGATCCTGAATATGATCCTAAACAGGATCCTGTACAAGATCTTGGTTAGGATCCTTTAGGATCCTAAACAGGATCCTGCCTAGGATTTGCACCAGGGTGAGCTTTCCAGTCTTTTTATGCAGCCTTTTTAATGCAGTAAATTATTTTATAAAATGGTGCCATTATGAAAATATGGAGATGTGTTTATTGAGCTTTCCAGTCTTTTTATGCAGTAGTCTGGTGACTACCCAGCTTTGGCCAGCGGTATTTACCGAATGAGAAAAGGGACTATTCAAGCCCTGACTATGCAGCTAGTTGCCAGCTTTAATCTGCAATTTCAATACCTTTGCCTCCCTACTACAGTAGTACCCTCCCTACAACAGTTTTACTAGTAAACCATTTACATGGTCAGAGGTTTAAAAGCAGTTTTTCTTGAAAGTAGCYGGCCAAAAAAATTAGCCACACCCAAAGCCTGCAAATTTTAGCATTTTCTGAAAAATGATTTTGAACCCTGCTTTGGAAAGGTATATATTTTGTTTTGTTTTAATATATGTTTTTGATACCTTGTACTTATCTTTTGGTTCAGAGGAATTTAAGAAGTTTCTACTTGTGTCTTGGTTGAGTACAGAGACAGGGTTGTCAACCTGCAAAGAAAACAGATTTTTATCAGACCTAACCTCTATTCATGTCAACATCATRACTGTTTTATGTCAACCTACTTGAATTCCAAACTGATCAAGAATATGAATAAGCTCTTCTTTCTTTGATGAAATTGTTTTTCCTGTTAAAAGAAAGGATGATCATGGTTTACCCAATTTTTAGTGGGTCACCCCTGGTAGCCCAGTCATGGTGACTAGAAGGAGAGGGCATGATGGGGAGNGTTGGGAGCTAGATGGAGAGGGGGCATGATGGTTGGGGGCTAGATGGAGAGGGGGCATGATGGTTGGGGGCTAGATGGAGAGAGGCCATGATGGTTGGGTGCTAGATGGAGAGGGGGCATGATGAAGAGGAGGCATGATGGTTTGGGCTAGATGAAGAGGAGGCATGATGGTTGGGGCTAGATGGAGAGAGGGCATGATGGAGAGGGGGCTCGATGGAGAGGGGGCATGATGGTTGGGGGCTAGATGGAGAGGAGGCATTAAGTCAAAAATAATTAATAATTAACCAATGGTTTTTTTTGACAATTAAGTTTCATTGCATGGAAAGGTCCACAAATTAATGCGTTTGTTTGACAAGCGAGAAATGTTATAACATTTCACTAAAATCAATATTATTAATCTCAATTGTTGGGGACCTAAACTTTACTGCTGAAAATCCGAAGCATACTAAGTATAGAAATTTACTACAGCTGTACTGATTATTGGAAATGTGACTCAGTTGGATGATAATAATTCAGGTCTTAGATTTTGGATAATCGCTGGAGGTGATTATCGTGTGATAGTGTGAGTTTCTCGACCAATCAGTGCATGAGATTTTCAATAATCACCTGTGTATTTTTACTATTGTTATATACTTATTTCAATAAAGTTAGTCACCAAAAACCTAGAAAGCTGTGATCGCTGAGAATCATGGGAAATATTTTATATCCAACAAGTAAAGCTTTTGACACAAACTGCAGCAGTTGAGGATGCTCAAAGGAGGTTAACTTGTAACTGGTAGAAGATCTCAAGTCCATCAACTGTTATCAAGCGGTTGAAACATGTAAAATGTATCTACCCATAATCCTTGTCGGTCTCAGCTTTGTAGCTTTTCAGGTGACTAACTTTACTGAAATAAGTGTATGCAACGACAAAAGTACGATATATAATACTTGATATACAATAACCGTCAATACATTTTATTGATCACGAATTTGTATAATAAAGCTCAATTTAAAGGTGATCATTAAATTGCAAACAGGGACACTTATCAAGCGTACAAGTCTACCGYCAGTCAAGTGGCTAAAGTGTTTGATCAGTAGATACAATCACCCGAAACAGTGTTTGAATCTCCCCTGCAACGGCACCCCTGCAACTACACTAATATACTATAACAACTATGCTCAAAGAATTGATTCCATTTCTTAGTTGTAGCTATGATGATTAGCCGCTGATTTGGTTTAAGAAAAAGGAAAATAATTCAAGATTGTCCAGCATGCTTGGGCGTAGATCAAATTTGAATACTCAATAAACAGCCGTGTAGTCCTCAATAAATTATAAGAATTTTGATCAAAGTTTTGTAGCTGAAGCTCTTTTTTTYCTAGCTAAGTAATTCAGACAACCTAGTGTTAACATGTTTGATGTGAGCAGAAAAGATAAAATTTTACTCTTAATTAGTGATTGAACTGTCAAACATGTTACAATAGGTCTTTCTGGAATCTCCTGAGAATTGGAAACCTATTGTTATGTCCTCCAAATTGAGCTGCTTTGTGCTATAAGGAGTCTATTTATAGTTATTAGTTCTGATTCACAAGATTGGTGTATATTTAATTTTACATTAATTGCACATGCATCATATGGTAAATTATTATGTTTGATAGTCTATTTTAATTTGATATCTTTTTATTATCATCTTTTTACTAGATGCTATAATGCCTCTGTAAGTAATTACTATTGTGCTACTTACCATCATGTGTTTTGATTTTATATGAAGAACTGCCATCACTAGTGATGCGTCTCTCAATTATTATAGAGTTACCATATATCTCTGGACAGTAAGCATCTTTTCCTCTGTTTCTTAACTTGATGATGATTTGACAGTAACTATGGCAACAGAGAAGAACAGAGATTTGGAACAGAAAAACAAAGCAGAACAATTAAGGGTAATTACCTCTAACATGTATTATACATCTATTCATATATTCATACATGTTACCTGCATTTGTCTTTGATAAAACCTTTTAAAGAACTTCCTCTATTTGTAGTATTGGCTTTCCCACCCAAACCAACCACAATTCCTGTCATAATGGCACTTTTACCACCTGAAACACATTAACGTTATCATCAGCCACCATTGGGGAAAAAATATTAATTTTAAGCCAATTCAGTTTGGACAAAATTTGCCTCTTAAGACCACATGCCTTTGCTTCGAGATAACAAACTTTACTTGTCATGAATTACAAGCAATAAAGAAATAATATTAAGAAATGACATGCACATGTTTTGAAATGGGACATTAAGCCCCGTTTACACTAGTGATTTTTGCTGTGATTTTTTTGCTATTTTGTCCATAATAAATAATGGAAAAGAATTTACTTGTAAAGTTTTTTTCAGGATACCAAGATTTTCCTAGAGGAATGTCTCTTTTTTCTAGGATGAGACAAAAGATTTCATATTTCCGAAAATTGCCACAAAAATCGCAGCAAAAATCGCCAGTGTAAACTGGGCTTTAGGGATATTAGGTCTGTTAGACAGAAACTAAAGCAAGTGCACTTTGTCAAGCTTTCTGATTATTAAGTTAATTCTTTAAACATCACAAGGAAATGTTTAGAAACATTGTTTGCCCACATATGTAGTGGTTATCAATATTTAGTGCAGGTAATGAAACTACTACAAAAAAAGAACAGATTTGTCAGATAATTTAAGGTAACAACGCACTTACTTCCATTACGTCCAATGACAAAATTAACATTTGAACCAAAAGGTACTTCTAGCATGGTATGGCACATGAAATTGATCAAAGTTATCTTCTCTATAATACCAACTTCTGCTTCAGACTGTTAAGTGATGGAAAATAATAGAATTTATTCCTGGTGTTAAGCGATACTGTTACATGTGTAAAACTTGAAACTATTTTGTCCCTATGGTGTGAATGGGTAATAGCAGGAGAAGGAAWATCCATGGTCATAATAAATAGCTACTTCTTGCTACTTTTGAATTTATGAACAAATGTACCTCAATTTCCTTGCAATCCACTGCCCACCACTACCCCCCCCCCCCATGACGCATTAAGTGTTGGTACCCTAAAAATCAGTCAAGCTGGGAAGCAAAGAATACCCAACAATCACTTTTCACATGTGATGTCAGTACAACAGACCCTTTGATTTCCAAAAGGATCGAAAATTGTGTYGTGTGTGAAAATTTCAGAAAGACTTTGGCTCTCTTGGATTCCCATTCTTAAACATAATTTTGTAATATATTTTTTTTCGTTCACTGTTACCAATCACAATGCATTTATCTCCTTACACACATGAAAAATAAACGATAAAAATAATTAACCTAGAAGGTGGTAGCAACGTAAGGGAGGAAAGCCTTTTCTTGTTCTATGGGTTGCCTGTGTCACACCTTCAAACTCATACCTTCGTAGCAAGTTCAGGCTGACTACAGTCATGATCATCAGAATCCATTTTTTCGTCATCCATTTCTTCATCACTCCGATCTACAGAACTCGATCTTCTACTTTTTTTCGTGGTACTTGGAGCCTTTTTTGAGCGTCTTTCTTGCGACGTMTCGGCGCTTTCTTCTTCCTCCGTCGGTTCCTCGCTCGTGTCTTCACGTCTTCGTTTGCTGCGCTGTCGACTCATTTTGCTTATTTCAAGGAAGGATATCTATCAGTTATTTGATGAATAGGTGCCGAAGAAGAACTAATGTTTACGATTGCATGAATTAAGGAATATTAAAGATAGGATTTTCATAAACACTTCTTGCTKTGTCATTGGTCTCGTATGTTAGCCTGGAATGGCGGGAAAAGATGGATCACATGATCAGTAGCACCCGCTGGGGCTTGTGGGAACAGTGCATAAACGGAAGTCATTTATCGCGGTTCCATGGTATATACTTCATTACAGTATATAATTCATTATCTTAGATCATTACTCGGGCTCTGGGCTCTGGTCGGATTGCTATTACCTGAGGTCAATTTTTGGTTAAAATCTTGAAATATGGAGGGTAATGACTGGGCTCAATTCTCTACGACAGGAACAACAGAAGCAAAAGTAAGTTTGATTGATAAATTACATGCATTGCATTAAAAATGTTTTAAAAACAGCAGGGGAGGAGAAATGGCCTAGAATCAAATTGGTCGTCTTTTTTACTTTTGTAGGAAGAAGAAAACGATGACTGGGGGGATTTTGGGGGATTTGAGGTAAGGTATTTATAGCCATTATGACATGCAGCGGGTCCAAACACTTACTCTTTTGCGTTAAACAATAGATTGTTTTGATGTTACGTCATAGTGAAATAAGGCAATTAGTAGTTGTTTCACGAGTTTGTGCAAGCACTCTATCTCTATCATTTTTGATTTGAATATAGTTTCATGTGCTGTGTTTGGTTAAGTGACCAGTGATTATGAAAAGGTAGCCAGGGAGGGCCCAAGAGGCCCTGCCACCACATCCTGTTGGAATTCCTCTTTACATGGTCTGGAAGGGGGGTCTGGATTACGAATCCCCAGGGATCTGGACCAGTCCTAGTAGCTAAGCACTGATATTTAAGTCTAAAATTGTCATTCAGGATTTTGTAGGTCATCAGCAGTGTTTTATAGGAGATCCTCTATGCAACCAATAGAGACCATTTGTTATATCATCCAATTTCATAGCTATATAACAATGATATTTACCTAAYTGAGCTGATCTGCACAGTATATAATCTTTTCAATATTTACCTTGCCTCTCGAAGACTCAAAGCTTGATAAATATTCAATGATAATCTCATTGTTAAATACTAATAAAATAATTATCTGTTATATTTCAAGACAGCTCAGCCAGTCACAGATCCAGCAGCTAGTAACACATCAGGAGTTATATCTTGGGCTACAACATTTACTTCTCAAACTTCTCCAGCAGAACAACACAGTGCACATAATGTCAGTGTTTCCCCTGATCTGAGTCAAGAAACTCATTTGGCAGCAGTTTTATCGGAGACAGCAGCAGTGGATCCAGTTTTGGAGACTGTCAAACAAGTTCAGAATTCTCCTAACTTGTCATCAGCTCCTTTAAGCAACAACAGTAGTGCTTCAAAATCAGACTCAGAACAACAGGCAGATATCAGTACCAGTGATAAAAGTACTGCTACTTCTGACAAGCAGCAAGCAACTGAAATTCTTGTTAACCCTAAAGTGAGTATTATAATAATTATAAAGTATATACCAAAAAGAACTACTTGTACATCGCATAAGAGTGTTCCTAAAATTGAACCCTTCAGCTATTTAAAAAAAACATCACAAAAAGGTTGAAAATTCACACTTTTCCAATGGAAGACTGGGCCAATTCATCTGAAAATCCAATTTTTCCAACCACAGGTAGCCCAAGCTTGGTTTCTGTGGTGTCCTGTTATAAGGAAATGTATGGGGAATCATCAAAAATTTCAATAAAATCATCAAAATGTGAAATAAAGCCTCGAAATTTTACCTTATYATTGAGAAATAGCACTTCTTTCGCTCTGCGTGGTTATTTTTTGAATTTAGCCCGTTTTAAGGATTTTTTCCCCCACCAGTAAGAAATAAGAGAAGGTTGGAAACTCGGGATCCAAAAGCGAGCCATCACGAGTCTTTGAAACCTCGTACGTCTTCGAATTTTCTTTCCAGCGCCAAATTTTAGTCATGACCCTTCTCTCACATCCCTATAGAACCGAGAAAGTTGCATTAGAGATTAGTCTTCGCGTCTTTAAGCCATGAAATTTGCCTGTATTCACATACTACCTCGCTTGTTCTGACCCGTACTTGGAGCTCACTGTACACCAGTTCAACGGATTTCTTTCGGCAAGCGACCCGAGGTCACGCCGGAAGTCTTCGTATCGTAAATGCGGATTCGATTTGGATATCGTCCTTCTTCGAAATTATGGTGAGTGTATTTTTTAACGGACTAAGATACAAAAGTATTTAACTTATAATTTCGAAAATTATGGTGAGTGTATTTTTTAACGGCCTAAGATACAAAAGTATTTAACTTATAATTTCGAAGAAAGACGATATCCAAATCGAATCCACATTTACGATACGAAGACTTCCGGCGTGACCTCGGGTCGCTTGCCGAAAGAAATCCGTTGAACTGGTGCACAGTGAGCTCCAAGTACGGGTCAGAACAAGCKAGGTAGTATGTGAATACAGGCAAATTTCATGGCTTAAAGACGCGAAGACTAATCTCTAATGCKACTTTCTCGGTTCTATAGGGATGTGAGAGAAGGGTCATGACTAAAATTTGGCTTATAACAGGACACCACAGAAACCAAGCTTGGGCTACCTGTGTTCCAACTCAAAAATAATAAAAAAGTAAAAAATAGTGTGGAATAAAATCTTTACTTAGTATATAAAAATCATGGCTAAACTGTTTCCAACTGAATTGACTGCATTCAACAAAAATAATCATGGGACAACTATATCGGGTTAGCATTTTCCTAGCTGCTGGGACTGAGTACRATGTAAATTTCTCTTGTCAAATGAAATGGGATTTCACCATGAGTTTGACTTAGTAGCATTTATGATCAATTTGTTGAATGAAAAATTTATATTTCCTAGGTTTTCTTGGCAGAATCATGTGAAATGCTAATCAAATTACATTTTAGAAAACTCAATTCTGATTGGTTGACCTTGAGTTTGTTCTGAAGGTCAACTCAGCTGGATAGGTTAAATGCTTTTCCTCCTATGAGCAAAAATTAAATGTGCAGTCAGTGCAAAACATCAATGAATTACCTAAATTAGGCTAAATATTGTTTGGTGGTGGAAAAAATCAGTTTCCACATAAAATCAAAATTTACTGCCATCCAAGAYTTGAAAATGCTAGATACAGTAGCACTAACCTAACCAAGAATGATGACCTGTTCAAGGCAATATTGTGGAAATAATATATCAGCTGACCAAAATCCTAAAAAACTATACCCTTAATCCAGCAGAACATGTTTAGGCCTGTGTTGGCTGTTTATGGGAGTAACTTCCCAGGCGGGGTTAAAAGATTGCAGATTCAGAATTTTGAATATATAGGGTTTTTCCAGAAACCCAAAAGGTGTCTCATGAGTGGGGTATAATACAGAGAATAAGACATAATGTATGGTTTAAGAAAATTACCATACCCAACCATGGAGGAATTTTGAAAAAGTGCCCCACACTTGTGGAATTTCCAACTTTCTTCTTTCTGGGACCACACAATGTTTCCAGGCAACCAATTAAAATCTAAATACAAAGTGATTGAAGAGTAATTACTGAATAACTACTGTTATGATTTAAATGCTATATTTTCAGAGTGATGGTTCCTCTTTACGCGAACGCATAGAAGAGGCACATAAGTCAGCAGAAGTAATAAATGTTCTTGAAGGAAAACTGTCTTYGGCTGAACAAGAAAAGCTTAAATTAAAAGAGGTTACTGTTTGATTTGTTGCATGTATTTAAAAAAAAAATACTAATTATAATTATAATTATTGAAACAGTAAAAACAATGTTGTATTGTCCGACTTTATTTTAAAAAATAGTATGCATCATGCAGGTTAAGATAAGAGTCATATAACTTTAATTTTACGTACAACGCATAGCGAGTGCAATCAGTTCTATTGTGATCAATCAGCACCGTATAGTAAGGCTAGGTACAGTATCGGTAAGTGATTGGCTGGCCATTACTGAATCACTTACCGACACCTTACTGATAACCAGATTTCAAAGATAGAAAATAGAAGTCATATGCAAGTCATAAAATCGAACTCTCCATACGTTATCGACACTTTACCTCTACGTTACTGACACCTTACCATTACACTGACAACTAACCAACAAATTTCAACACTTACAGACCACCTCACTTACCAACCACTAACAGACCACTTACTGAAACCTAACACCGTATGGTGCAGATTGATCATAATAGCCCATTTTTTTAAAGTTACACATCATCCAATCACAGAATTTACTCAATTTAAATTTCTGTTTTTTTTTTACAAATTATGAACCAAAGGAACTTGAAAGTCTCTTAACAAAACATCAAGAACTTGAGAATGTTTCCAAGACAACACATGAAAATGTAGAAGAACAAAAACGAAAATATGCAAAATGTCAGGTAAGACAAACCCTCCTAAAATGTCTTTAGAATATAATTTAAATGCAAGAGTAAACCCTTATTTTTTTCAAAACATTAATTTTTTTTGAAGGAAGAACATCATCAACAGCTACAGGATATCCGTCAAGCAGGTCACAATGCCCTGGCTATGATAGTAGAAGAATACAAGGTAATCAAGAATGTTTGTGTGATTTAACATCCTTTGAACCAATCACAGCTAGTGCATGTCAGGTTTTTGCACCAAAATCCTAACGGATTTGGCACCTGATTCATAGTCAAAACAAATGGTATAATTATCCTACCATAAGRTTTTTTGCAATCATGAGAAGAAAAATTGCTCATATTTTAAACAGCTATAAATTTACTAAAAAATACCTGTATAATAATTCATAAAATTACAATTTCATAATTCCAAGGAGCTTTCCAAACAAGCAGTTCTTGAAGAAAGAGAAAAAACTCAAGCTGAACTCCATAATTTTCTAGAGGATGAAAGAAGAAAGTTTCAAGAGATTTTGAGCCAACAGGTACTGATAGTTAACTATCAGAAGCCTTATCTATATATAAGCTAGCTGAAAATAGTTTTTTTGTTATCTTGATATTATATGTTATTGTCTCACAGCAAGAGAGTTTTGAAAGAACACTAGCAGAGGAAAGAGAGAAGAATAATGAAAGAGTAAAGGCAGTTATAGAAGAGGAGCATCATGAACATAAGGTAATATTTAATTAATCTCTATATGTTAATGTTTTYATACATTCAACGTTTTATTCACGCTCCACAAGAAACAACTGCAAGATGGACCTTCTTGTTCCTCCAACTAGAACTAAACAATTCCAGAACTCATACTTCAATAGATTGCCCAGAATATGGAATCAACTGCCTGCCGACATCAAATCGTTAGATTCTGTTTCAAGTTTCAAGACTGCTCTTCATAGCCGTTACTTTGCTGGTCTGTTGAACACTTACTGCATAGACASTTATAAGACATGGAAATCAATCTGCCCTAAATGCTGTACTACGAATGACATTACTAGCAAACCATTATGTTGCTACTGAACTTTACTTAGCATATCATTATGATATGTCTCAATATATCATATGATTTTATTCTTATATCTTTTTCTTATTTACATCAAGTTGATTATAAGTTCACTAATTTTTCAGTCATTATCATTATTATCACACTATCAACTATTATATCCGTCATCATAACATACACCATTTGTAATATTATTCCACTTATTATGTGATCATATTGTGGCCGTACTTTATTTTGAGTCATGCTCTGTTGTACCGACCATACCACTAATTGTTTATGTGGTTAAAGCCTGATAAATAAATAAATAATTAAATGCATCCAATAACATAATTTTAGTTGAGTTCTTCTTTTTCAACAATGACAGGGTGCAACAATAAATGAACATCACAACTTCTTGTTGCTTGTTGTTTGGGAATCTCAGTGTTCTCAGTCAAAAGACTTAATTCCATATTAAGACAGTTGGCCTTGATTAATTTTACATTGCTTTTTTGCAGTATGTTTGTACCATTCGTTATATCTCTCATACTGTCACCAGCAACTTATATGTTGCAAGCAAAGATTGCAACATTTAAATCCAAGCCTTTCACATGAAACACCAATTATATTGTATTTGTCTAAGTGTAACACTAATATTTTCTCATAGCTTGTAACAGAATCTGCCTTGAATAAAGAAAGAGATGAATTTAAAGGGAAACTAGAAATGGCCATCAAGGTAATAGTTATYATACATTATAGAAGAGTCTCTCATTTATTAGGCAATGGGGATTAGTAAGATTCAGAGAGGTCCAGGTCCCAAGGGATTATCAAATCTGTGTCAACATTATGTAAAGGGGTTATTAGTGTGTACTGTAGTATCCTAAAGAAAAACCATACATGAAGTGATTTTCCTAATCAACCCCCTAACCCATTAACCATGATGTCCTGTCAAATTAAAGAGCTCTATGTCCAAGTGACTATGGTAAAAGTATTAATTTATCACTTTATTTATCACATTATTTATTACTTTACACTGTCAGGAAACGAGGGAACAAGGAGAGGAGGCTGTGAAAGCAGCTGTAACCAAAGAAAAAGAGATGCATTTGGCTTTTATGGTAGGTCATATACTTATTCTTCGTTTGCATGTGAYGTCATAGAGCAAGAAAATAACAACTTAAAATTAATTATAAATGCTATAAATTCAATTCTTCGATATGTTTTAGAGAACTATGATGTGACTAAGTGTAGAAAATTTCAGATCGTTCCATCGTTTTGTTTCCAAGTTGTGCGAATCTTATTTTGTGATCAGTAGTCCACACCTTACGCTGAACAAGTGTCTGAAAATTCAAAGAAATAAAGATATTTTTGCCAAATCAAAAATTTTTAGTGTTGTACAAGTTTATAAATTAGATCTGGTACGCTTGAAGTGAATTTGATGAATTTTTGTCATAAAATTTTTTTTTGAAATTGTGGACGCCATGTTGGATGATACTAGATATCATCCAGCGAGTTTTCGCCATACATTTACACTAAAATATCGGTAACTTCGTTCGCTCATAGCTCGTTTTAGAAATTCTCTAATGCTCCAATTTGTTGCTCAGCGTTGTATTATAAGTAGCTCTACATGGTCATAAGGATTGTTTTTTGATTGCAACCAAAAAGTACTTTAGCACCAGCAAAATACACATGGTTGCAAACGAAGAATTTCAATAAAGTTAGTCACCAAAAACCTAGAAAGCTGTGATGGCTGAGAATCATGGGAAATATTTCATTCAACAAGTAAAGGCTTCGACACAAACTTCATGCTGTTGAGGATGCTCAGGAGGCGAACTTGTAACTGCATGGTAGAAGATCTCAAGCCCTAAAACAGTTATCAAGCGGTTGAAACGTAAAATGTATCTATCCATAATCCTTGTCGGTCTCAGCTTTGTAGCTTTTCAGCTGACTAACTTTATTGAAATAAGTGTATACAATTCAGAGAAAACTATACTGGACCAAAATATAACACCCTTCTGACTAAGTTGTTTCTTCATAGGAAAAAATGGAAAAAACAATGAAAGAAGAAAGGGAAAAATTTAGAACATCAATGAGAGAGGTACTGGACGATGAGCGACGAGAGAGCAAGGTAATGTACACGGTAGGGCTACGTCACACGTAGGGTTTCAAAAGCGTAAAATACTGTGCAAGGGAGGGGAGGGTAGAGCTACATTGCATAATGGTGGGAGTCATGGCATTTAATGATAATAAACTCAAAGCAACAAAGTAATAATTCCAAGGAAATGATGCTAATCTAAGGCATACTGCAAACCTCAAACTAGTCAAACCTATTAATTTTGAAATAGGCTCATGGTTAGAATGACATTTACAGCAAAATTGGGACAAGCTAAGTCAGATATTACGACACAGTGCAGATACTTGAACCATGAACACTTTGAGGTTTTTCGACATTTTTCATAACTATCAATCACAGCTCTCTGTAGAAACAAAGGAATCAAGTACTTTTTAGATGCCATCCAATCACAACAAATGGCAGAAGATGAACTGCTGAATCACATTTAGGAGTGGTAGAACTCAATTCATGAATTATGTAAGATAGTGAAAAAGTCATAAGTTCACCGTGATTTCAGAAACAATATCAGGGGCTCAAAGCAAACATTTTTACCGCCATTTGCATTGTTTCGCGGCCACCCCAGACAAAAATTGCAACGTCCACTTTGCAATCAAACACATTGACATCATTTACACGTGCGTGATTCAAAAGGTGCCAAAACTAATGTCAATTGTTTACAAGCATTATGAGCCACACTCAACAGGCCTACCGTGCCGATCCAAATGGGTGTAAATGACGTCAACGTGTTTGTTTCATGGCACTTCTGGAATATTTTTTGTTGCCCAGTAGTTTGTGACTTTTTATTTAGTTGTCTTAAAATCAACAAGAAATACCTTTTAACTTATTGTGTTTTTACCAAATAAAGGTCAGGTTTTTTGTCTGGTGTCAATAAAACTAATGCAGAGTTCTTTGTCCAGAAAGCAATTCAAGAGGCTATGGCAGAGGAACGTACCAAATCTAGAGAAACTGTTAATAAATCTGTTGAAGAAACTAAAACTTTAATGAATGAGTACATAAAACAAAAACAACAGGTGAGTTAAAATCATGAAGTGTTGGCTCTCCCAGCCACTTTTGAAAACACATTGACTCAAGATATTTCTCCTCCCAATTCCTACCCTAAATCTATTGTGTTACTGCCTCATGTTCTATTTTTTCATTAATGCAATACATGTAGATCAGAATAGATCCTTTCAGCCAATGTGATCAACTGGTAACYGTGAAACCATAAGCACAGGAATCCTAATAATATTGAAGCTGAAATATATTACTTTCTTGGATGGTTGTACATGTACCTTGATCACACCTGCCTTTATCACATGAAAATAAAAAACAGGTTGTCCAACACTGCAGGGACCTTATCATAAAATACTTGAATGCAATGATTTGTTCCAGTTGGCATGTAAGAAAGGTTCAAATCATTTCAGAGTTAGGGAACCCAAACATTATCTTTATCCTACTCTAGTATTTTGATTTCTTTGTAGATTGATACACAAGGTCAACAGAAGCAATTTATAGTCATGGATTTGTTTCTTGAAAGTGCAAGGACACAATTAAAAAACTTAATGGACAGCAACCAGAAAAGCTAATAGACCATTTTGGAGTTCATAAAATACTGCTGTTTCTTGAGTACAGATTCATTGACTCAGGCCAGGGTTAGTCTTGTGTCAGTGTCTAAATATTTACAAATACGAATAGTAAGGTAAAGATTGCATCCCTTTAACAATACAATTTGAAAATCCATGTACCTTCACTAGAACACATGAAAATTCTGCACAAAATTGAGGCTAACCCTGCGAAAATGACTCTGTAGTCAAGGRAAAGCAGCAGTATTTTACTAATTCTAAAAGGTTTTGAGTGGGGGGTTCACTTTATATAAACATTTTAATATGTAAGTTAGGCATTATATATTAATAGGCCACAATTCCTTGGAGAGGGCACAGGATCCTTTAAACCACCCCTTTAAATGTTATAGTAGTAATAAATTATGCGTTCGGTTTAAATGTTAGATGGTTTGTTTTTATTCCATCATCCCTGAAAATGAATAATACATGTATGTCCTAAATCTCAGCAAAAAGTCTCATTTATGCTACAAAACTATACATTTTAAAATTATGAATATGCCATGCTCTATATGTGTCTAATAAATGAATGTTAGAGTGATTTTAATAAATTGCTTGAGCTGCCTGGGACAATTCTTACATATCAATGACATTCCAGTGTAAGTTTAAAAAACAATTTTATTCAAACCACATGGCTTTAGTTTATAATTGATTAATGCTATAAATTTAATAAATACAGTTAAAGACACATTTATGCTACAAAAATATACATTTTTAAATTATGAATACCCATACTCTATTATGAGTGTCTAATAAATGAATGTTAGAGTGATTTTACTTGGCCCAATCAAAATTGTATAAAACAGTGTGATTAACAATAAAAGTAAATAAAAGAATTAGTGTCTACCACTTACAAAGTAAACTCTTCAAGAATAATTCATCAGCCTTTTGGAGCAACCATAAGCATCATGTACATGGACCTTTAAGAAAAATACATCTTTATATAAAGGTTTCATCCTTATTCTCCAATTTTAGAAGACAACTTAGAGCCTCAATGTCAGTCTTGTGTAAAGGAGGATAATTATGTCGTCCCACACTGCATTGTGTATAATCACTGAAGACCCACAAAATGTCAAAGACTAGCACCCCTTATTTCTCAAGTTTGGTATGCTGCGTTCAACTTCTGGGAACCTTTTCAGACTAACTGGGTATGACAGTGACATACAAACCTCTATAGAAGTATTAAAAGTCCATGTTCACAACATAATATGGTAGCTCTAATTCAAACAAATGTTTGTTTTTATTCCTGTTTTTGAAGCAGTTCAATAAACTTGCAGATCATGTTTTATCTAAAACTACTCGGCTATGCCTCAAGTCTTTAAACCTGATAAAACACTCCTGTTGGTTTAAAAGGTGCATAAACTACCTTTACACTGTTAATCACTTTTAGAGTCTGTACCTCATTTTGGCTTCCATTGATCAAAGTAGACAGAATGACCCATTTACCAATTTATTTGCCTACTCTAGTTTTGGTAAATTTTTCAAAACCAAAATCAATTTCTCTTGAATTTAGCATGCTTAACTAGATCTATAGATTTTTAAATCAAATATTCAAAATAAGGGCAATTAGAATAGTTTGAATAACGTTTAAAAGCAGCTTTTTGAAATGTCTTGTTCTAGACCACACAACAATTCCTATACTTTACTCATTTTGGTCCCTCAATCCGAAGAACAAAACAAACTAATGGTCTTTCCAGAATAATGCAAATGAAAAAACATTCCTCCATATTGTGGAAAATTAAGTTTTGGTAACAATAGGAACATTAGGAATTCATGCAGAGTCCAGACAGCAATTTCATAAAACACACAAAATCCAGTTTCATTCCCTAGGGGGAAAAGGAAAATATTTCTAAGTAATAGCCATGTTTGTGTTGATTTTAAATGGGTTTACAAGGTCACACCAACTAGAGAATAACTAAATGATTCTAATTCTTTTAACATTAAAAATGCTGTTGCTTTGATATTCCAAATTGCCCTATTTCACTATGACATCACATCAAAATAATCTATTGTTTAAATGCAAAGGATCATRGTTGTCAGAGGGTGTCAAATTAACCCAAATTCACTGAAATTTGTTCTAAAACCTGTATCAATCTACGAAGAGAAGTAGAATAGCCAGCAAACGCTCAGAATATTTTTTAGTACATATTAACACATATTATATCTGAAAACCAGGCCATTTTAGGTAAAACTGTTTTGCTAGGAGCAAATGTTTGTTGAATTTTCTATTGGATTTGGCGTTTCTATCCCCCACATAAACAAGCAGTGACGTCATAGTGAAATAGGGCAATTTGGCAAAGTTATTCTAAGAAACTTTATGATAGGATACAGAGCAATACACTGTGATATGTGAAACTTGAAAACTAAATTAACTTTTATGTAAATACAACATAAAATGGACACTGTACACATACTAAAGTTTATGTAAAGTGTCCATTTTAAGAAGAGTCATTGAGTGATTAAAGAATCCTAGTCAACTACGATGCATTGTGTGCCGGAATCATTTGAAAATCCAGTTTCATCGGTCTTGTTATTCCTGCTAAACGTTTTAAGATAATCAAAATAATGATACAGAGTCATTTAATGCTTTCCATAATTGAGAGTTTTTAAATTTTGGCAACTTATCTAGGTAGATCCAAGGTAGATCCAAGGTAGATTTCGAAAGCTATGATGTGTAAAGGCCTGTGCAAATGCACGCAACAACACCTAATTGGTCACAGTTGTTGGAAAATGTTGACGACTGTGTTCAAACGATCGCAACATATTGGGCATTGTCTGCTATTTTGCTTGAACTTAGCATATGGCTTCCTTCATAAAAAGAGTAAAAAAAGCGAAAATGCATAGCAGTTATGGATCTAATTGAAGTCCTTAATGACACCAGTGACTCGATGTGTTTTGTGGAAAAACGATAAGATGGATCAGACGTCGAAACAAGAGAGGAAAATTCAAACAACATCTTCAGGATTTTTGATTTTTGATGATTGAGGACACTCGGGATCTGTTGTGAATGACTTACAAATATTTCTTTAACATTTCTTTAACTTTGTTGGGCGTGCTGTCCAAACGAACGCAACATTGTTGGGCTACGCTTCAATGACCGCAAAACAAAAGAAGAGTTGGGAGTTGTTGGCTCAAAAATTTGACGAGTTTCAAACTTCACCCAACAACATCCAACAAGTCCAAACAACATGCAACATGGTGTCCAAACGCTCCCAACATATTTGGCCCAATGATGTTGGATGTTGTTGGCCAACAATATTGAGTGTGTTTGCCAAGCCTTGACAGTGGATGCACAAAAAGTCATGTCCCAGAGACAATCTCTCTGAAAAATTCCATCTACTTGCTGTAGAATGAAAGGAAGGGAACTTTGGGAATTTAAAGACCTTGGCATAGCAAATTTGCAGAAATTTTTCTTCACCAGTCCATGGAAAAGCTTCATGAATGATATAGATGAACAATGTCAACAATAATATAGGGATGCATTGCATTCTAGTTGACTAGAATTCTTTAAACCTTTCATCCAAGTTTTGACCTGTCAAAGATAGTAAATAATTGCTAAAATATAGATATACTACTGTGTGCCTTTTTAGATCCTTATTTCAACTTCTGTTAAATTTAAACTTGTCTGAAAATTATAAAAAGGTTGAAAAGCTGCAAAAGTAATTTTTCCTCATGACAGTCATGCGATGACAAATAGATCACCCAACCATAAAGGTTGTAGATAAAAATTAATAATTTTGATATCCTGGACTAAATATTTGTCTTCACTTGGATAACTTTTCAACAACACCTCTGCAACAGTTAATGCTATTTCACATCAGTTCTACTCTTTGCTATTTCATCATTGCTATATTTGTTGTTGGTGGTGAAAACTTATACAAATCTAAAATTGTGGACAGATTTCAGTAAACCATCTATCTGTTGATAAGAATATGAATTTCAAAAAATATGCCTCTCTCTATCTTGTACAATGGTTGTCTAGTGGATAACATTACCTAGTACTTTAACTGACAGTAAAATAAGATTTATACAGACCAAGTACAAAAGTTTGCTCTTATTAAAAAGGGAAGATTCAATACTTTACTTTTAAGGGCTAACTGTTGTATTGAGAACAGTGGTGTTGACAGCTGCAAGAAGACTGCGTCCTTCATACATTGATTCGTCATAGAGAATTCCTAATAAAAATGATAAAGATATATACTTCTTAAAGCATGATAGAGAATTAATAGAAATGGCAACTGGGTTATGAATTGTTTTCATTACTGCAATTTTCATAAACTTTACTCATGGAATGTATGCCAGGATTTATACAAATAGTTTGACAGATACCATGTGATCAGCTTACATGGAAAAAGCCAGTTTGGCCAAATTTCAAGATAAGGTTATGTCAATTAAAGGATATGGAAGTGAGATTCTTAGCAGATACACCCAGAAACTATATCTTCTCGATACATATGAGAGAATAAATAACCTCTGGACCCCCAAATTAAACTAATAAAAATACTCTAATAAGCTAAACAAAGATAATGTGGCCTGCGCTGTGAAACAGGGTAAATAATGTCATAATAGAGGGGAAATGTTTTTGATGAAGCTGTGACTAACTTTTTCTTTGATTCCTTTCTGGAGATTTGTATTTTTTTCTGTTGGATTTATAGCCATTAATCAGGTTCTAAGGGGAGAGACCTATTCCCCAATCCCCATTTCTTTCCCCTCCCTCAAGAGTCCATTCTATAATCCCACAAGGGATAGGATCATGTATTATTTTGCAGGGTCTACTTACCAGCAACACATGCTGTCATGAAACAGGCTATAGTACCTGCAAACAATGCTCTTACTGCTAATTTAGACATTTCAGAGATCCTGTGAGGAGCCATTGGCCCAAGGCCACCAAGTTGAACTCCAACAGATCCAAGGTTAGAAAACCCACAAAGTGCATAGGTGGCAATAATCTCTGAACGTATCTAATACAATAAAAATTAAGATAGAATATAGCACTCACCAGCAATACATGCCGTCATAAAACAGGCAATTGTACCAGCAAATAAAGCACGCATTGCAACCTTGGCCATGTCACCAGTTCTTGTTGGAGCCATAGGGCCTAGACCTCCAATCTGGATGCCGATTGAGCTGAAGTTTGAAAACCCGCACAGTGCATAGGTGGCAAGAATCTCTGACCTCACCTGTTAATTGTGTTTTATGTGCATGGCAAAGTTGTTAATGTTAAATGTATGATTCATGAAATAGAGTAATAATAAAGGAATGAAAAGAATACAAATGCGCATGAGAAAAGCATGAAAAGCTGAAGATTGTAATTGGAGATCAAATTAGCAATGACCTGTCATTCAAATGTTTCATGTTTATGAAAGCATTTTTTTATAAAAATGAAAACAAGACTCTTTCTAAAATGTGTGGTGTTCTTTGAATAATTTMTATTTTGTCAATTTTTTGCAAATTGGTCACAATACCAGATTAATGTAGTATGTTGACAACCAGGCATTATTAATATCATAATACTCCATTATCACTGGGTGCAATAGACAATTTCCAAGATGAATGAGAACTTTCATAAATATTGCAAGCACAGACATGAAAATGAACCATTTTGGGCAGTGTTCATAAAAATGTTTTAAAAAAGTAAAGCTTTCTGGTATTGTACACTTAAAATGATCACTCCCTTCATACAGGGAAGGTGGGAGGGGCCCTGTAGTGTTCTGGGAACCCTGTGTTCTGTTTGGGTTACCTGTGGTATGTAAGATGGCGGCCATGAGTCAGTAAATATGTTCAATCAGAAACCTTGTTTATCTAGTCATTTATTCGGCCATCGAGTGTAACAGGCCCCTGCTTGAAACTAGAAATTCATTGATGTAGCCTTTACTGCTTTTTCCTAAAAGCTTTTTGGTCACATCTATTGTGATTTCCAATTGCAAGGAGAACAGTTACAAAGTACTTGAATCTAACTTGAAAATGATAGGTTCAATGATGCATGTGTCATGTAGTACAGTTGGAAGTGTGTTTTATACATGAAGGTATGCTGATACAGCAAATAATCAATTACCATATTTCTGTAAAAGATTGACAACCACAGGGAGCACAAACAAAAAAAATTAACTGACCATAAATCAGCAAACAGAAAAAGCAATTACCCAGAAAAAGCATCAGGTATCAAACAGATAATCTAACCATCAACTGGTACAAGAGAAATTCACAATATACACAGGTAGCCCAACAGACTAAATGACCTCACCACTACAATCACCACAGGTAGCTCAAAAAACACAAGTTATTCTATAACACAGGTAACCCAAATAGCAAAAAAATGAATCGCTATCATAAAGACTAGAGCTTAAGGGCAGGCTTTGATACTTTGTTTTCTTGAAGGAAAAATTACTCAATTTGTTTTGCTAACTTCCAATGAACAAAAATGAGAAAAAAAATTCAACTAGCAAACTGGGGAGTTTAAGAAATGAAAGCAAAAGAGCAAAATGAAAGCAAAAGAGATATTGGTAGTAAGAAAAATGAATGCAAATTAATCAGCAGTAAGATGTTGAGTTGGAATATATACTGCAAGTACAGCTTTTATATATTAAGTTATGGTTAGTGGTAATGATTTTAGATTGAATGTGACATGAATGGTTTTTTGATGAATTTGTTTCTGATTTAGTTTTGTTTAGGTAATTGTTTTAGTGCACTGATCATCATTTTTTATTTTCATTGGTTATAGCTTCAGTGTTTAGACTTGACTTGGTTGCAATGCTTTTATTTGCTTCAAAAAAAAAAAAAAAAAAAAAGAACAAGAAAAGGACATGGACTGCTGGAGAAAATCACCCATTATCTGCCTGCCTACTTAATGTATTCTGTCTAACAATAGGTGAAAAGGTATGGTGTGTGAGCTGGTTGATGATTAATGATGAGCTAATCATCAATGAAATTTGACTTTTAACATTAAAGGTGGCACCTTTAATGTCTGCAATGTGGAAACATCTTTTGCCAGTTTGAAGACCTTTATCTAACCTGAAGATACTTATAATTTAAAATGCATTGATAAACTAGAATGAAGGCATTGAATAAAATCTTCAAAGCAGGTAAAAGATCATATTTGTATTAGAATCAAGCTCAATTCAAGTACCGGTATTCTAAAATATCTTCTTTTTAACATTCCAAAACAACCAGTTACAATGAATCACTAGGAAGGAATTCAGTGCAATGGCCTCATATTTTGGCAATGCTGTTTCAAAAGAATTCATTATAGAAATAGTCTGAATTGTGCTCAATTAATAAAATATGACGATTAGCCTTGCCTCAAAGTTTTATCAATTCCCTTTCGTTCATTTTATTCTACATTTCAAATTTATCAAGATATTCAGATTGAAAGATAACTGGAAAAAACTTATGCAGAAACAAATAAGAAAGAAATAATTCTTGTTTGTCCCTCGTTGTATCAGCTCACAACATGAATGCAGCCTTCTTTGTTCAGATGCAAAGTGGGCTCTGTTTTACTCCATGTCCTTGTCAAAAATAAATCTTTATGTCACCATCACTCAAGATGGAGCTAAAAGTTTAACTAGTTAGGTTGGCTTGGAAATTTTAGTTTTAGTTATTTATTTGGTATCCCACTCATGCTCTTGTTGCTGATTAAAAATCTGTAAATTTTCGTTGAAAAAAAATTGAGAAAAACTTTTAATTGTATATTTCTTTTTTATAAAACAGTTTTTATAAATCAATTATTTTCAATGCCAAATGCCATACCTAAGCATTCTCCAACACAAAATTAAAACATCTGAAGAAGAACAAGACATATTCTATTTCTTAACATCTTTTTTTTCCCCAATCTATTTCAACCTTATAGCATTCATTATGTATAGGGAAAACCTTTTTGCAAAATGTGTATACATACAGAGATGGTTCTGGCGTCTCCAATTTCTTTTCTGCGGTTGGTGATGAATCCTGACAACCTGATATATGCTACAAACTCATTCAAAAACGTCTTGATGCCAAGAAGTTCAGCCACAACATCACAGTCTTTCCATTGCACACCCATCAAGAACGCCACTGGGCGCAGTAAGTAGGAGCAAATATACTAAACAAAATAAAATAGGTAATGTGAATTCACACCGATATGAAAAGCACCCCTCACCAATAATTATGGAATGAAGAGCATTTTTAAACTTAAGGATGGAAAACATTTGATAACTCAAGCTTTGTTTTCCAGCTTAAACCTCTAGGTATGCACACGTCACATGGAAAGAATGCTTAATTCTATATAAATTCTTAAAAACCTGACTGAGATCATTTCTTGAAGTCTGATCTATCTGAAGGAAGACCATTTCTCATGCTTGAGGTTATAATTAGTGTAATATCTTCAAACTTCTGAGACAAAAAGCAAATAACCTTGTAAAATAATGTAATGATCTTACCTCAAAGCTGATCTCAGGGTGGCCTACCATGGAACCAAGCCAAGAGAGAATAGCATTGAAGAAAGCCAAAAATGCAAGGAATGCAATCAAGTTTGCAGCTATGTTGGCAACCAGGGCAATTGCTGTGCTGGCACCCTTAGCAGCTGCTTCTATCACATTACGCTCACCACTAAAATCAAAAGTACTGCCTTTAGATTCTGAGCCTCATATAAAATTTATATAATGTAATAAAACCATAACTTGCAGCTCTTAAACAAGATTGGGGGAAAAAGAACCATTTTAGAAAGATCTTGTCTTGAATATGAGATGACTGATAGCTCTATTTGGTAACCAGTCATTTCTCCACCACGCACTTATGTATGGCGTACTATGGCGTCGCTTGTCGATCGATGTTTAATAATAAAGCGTAAAGGTATTTTAGTCTTTCTCGCTCAAACCTTGGCAAGTAGGAGCAATCAATATGTCCTAAACATTCAGTTTTTCGATGAAGAAGAAGGATATTGTAATATTTTCAACAAACTACTCTACGGAGACTTAAATCTTATTGGTAGCGAAAAGACCTCGGCCTATGAAATACCGTAAACTGAACTTAATTGTTCCACTTAATCATTAAAGTGCCTAATAACCTTTATAGGATTATGATCAATTTTGATTTTCTGTGTGTTGGAGATGAATAAACCAAAAAAACCAATTTCGATTGACTAAATATTCTCAGAGATATAACACCCTAAAGTATGCAGATTTGCTACGCCCCATTGATTTGGACGGGATAAAGGGAAACTGGGACCAAGCAGAGTAGTGGTGAGTGGTGACATCACAAAAAGAGCAACTCGGCTTCCAATAAGTAAAACAAAGTAGAGCTTGGCTGTTCCTTCCTTGGGGTGTTTGAGCACCCAGCAACAACACATGTATCTAGTCAGCATTTTCTCATATTCTGACAGATGAACTAGTAAGAATCTTTGCTTATCAAAACATTTGTTCTTGTTGTGACGTAAGTTTTTGGCGTTTACATTCAGATGATGACCTCAAATCTACTGCAGATAAAGGCAATAGATCATTTTGTCAGTGCAAATAACAAAGTCTAATGGATTTCAAAAAAAGAAAGCGTCAGTAAACGACTAGGAAGCTTGTTGACTACACAAAAACAATATGGTGTCGCTTGTTGATAGATGTTTTGCATATAAGGTTGTTTTTTTTCTCTCAAACTTTGGCAAGTAAAAAATGATAAAGAATGATAAAGCTACCCAAAACACACATTTCATAGATTAGAGTATGGGGAAATAAAGTCATCCGAGTCATAAGTTAGTAGAAACGGACTCGATATGGTAGCTAAGTGAACGCTGTCCTTGGTTGCGTTTAGATCTCCACTTTCACTGATTGTATCGTGAAATGATCACTCCAAATATGCTTCAAAATCATATACAAATGTCTTTCAAGAGACTATGTTTCTTTTTAACAAGTCTCATCAAAGTTTTGCTTTGGTAATTTTCAATAGTAGCAAAAGGACTTCATCATGGTAGTGAAAAGACTCTGGGTGGTAGCGAACCGGCAGTAGCAAAAGTGCGAGGTAGCGAAACGACCAGTATTATTCTATTCATCATTTATGTTCACACATGATTGAAAAACCACTCACCTTGATGGAAGGTGAATGTCCTCATCAAGTGTTTCTGGTTTGTCTGTTTCTGGATAAAGGAGTTTAGAAATTGCAAGTGCAGCAGGAGCCGACATGACAGAGGCACTGAGAAGATGTGAAGCAGAGACCCCAAACTCTATGTATGCAGCAAGCACTCCTCCAGCTATTGTAGCAAAACCTCCAGTCATAATGGCATGAAGCTCAGACTTTGTGACATGGCTAAGGAATGGTCTGACTAGTAATGGGGCTTCAGTCTGCAACAGAAATAACAAATCATTTCACTTGAAGGAAGGATACCAACACATTTAAACAATCCTGATCACTAGTGTTTATAGCCAGGATTTTCAGGAGGGTCATTTTAAACCAATACTGTCCTTTATGACTTTTTCTTGGTGGTCAAATTTTTTCTTCTAAAATTATTAATTATATATATTGTACATTAGAGTTAAAATAAATAAATGAGCAGACATTTGGAATCTCACTAAAATATTTCAAACTACTAATCATTTGGCATAGGTGATGAAAAAACACAAACAGTGGTAAATTCTGTTAGATACAGGTACAGGGTTCGTACAGATTCCTCAGTGAAAATTTCCAAAACTTTTCCAAAAGTTTCTCAAAGCCCATCAACTAAAATTTCCAAAACCACATAAAGCAAGTAAAAAAATAAAGTGAAATTCATGGATGAAAAACATTCAACATACAAACATATAAGTGACTTTGAAAGAAAAATTTTTTTCTTGATATACACTTTAATACAATGAAAAGAGTTCTTTGCAAGGTAGTACCTGGGCAACTAACAGAAAAAAATCATAACTTTTCCATAGCCCAGTGGTCGAAAAAGAAATTTTCCAAAACTTTCCAGGTCCTGGAAAAAAATGCATTATTGATTTCCAAAACTTTCCAAGACTTTCCGAAACCCGTACGAACCCTGCAGGTATATGTTCTTTGAGTCAATCAACATCAGTAATGGAACTAAAGGATTTTTTTTTTCACCAGAAGGTTTAGTCTAAAAATAAATCATGAACATTCAAACCCTTTGCATCATTATTTTGGGTTGGTTATGGGTCTAGTTATCTTTGCCATCTTGTTTAAACTTATTGAAGACAAAAGTTTTTTTCACTTTAATAATAAATAGACTCTTAGACTTAGGTGTCCTGAAAAAGTGACTACGAAACTCTTTCATTCTAAAACGTTTTTCTTAAAGATAACTCACTATCATTTATCTTTCAACTTACCTGACCAACAAATATGTTTCCTGCAGCATTAAGTGATTCAACAGCTGAGGTTGCCATGGTGACCTGCATGAGCCATGCGACCTTCTTAATGACGACTTGCATGATTCCAATATAATAGCACACAGAGATAAATGAACTGAAGAATACGATGACTGGAAGAACCTAACATAATAGAGTATAACCAAATTATTTGTGGAAAAATAATTGCAAAATTTTAAATGTATAAAAAGATTAAAATTATCCTAATATTTTTTGTGGGAGTTCCTTTTTGTAAATTCTGTTACATTACATGGTGATTTACAGAGGAAGGAAAACTGGACAAAAACTCTCCCCTCTCCCACCCTTTAGAACTGAGTACATAAAATCGCTGTTCACATTTATGGTATATGAGACAAACCAGCAATCTAAACCGTAAAATAGTAAAAGGAGAATGTTTAACTCCTATACCACTACTAGACCTTAAGTGTATAATTTGAAAAAATTCATTCCTTTCACAGTGATAGGAATTTACAAGGGTTGCATGATTAAGCCTTAGTATTACATGTACCATTTCTTTATGAAATATTCTGAACACTGACTGGAACACATGTAACCGTCTTAAACATTTCCTATAACTTAAGAACACTATTTATCCATACCTTGAAAGCAAAGAAGTGCTTCATGAAATCATCTCCAAATACAAACTTTGCACCAACATCAGTAAAGTCCAAGAATGACTGAACTGTCTGGCCAAGGAATTTGAAGGTCGCAAACCCTTGTGGTGTGCGCAGGATAAGTAAACCAAATATAAACTGTAAACCCAAACCCCACAGAACAGGACGCCATTTTATCTGGGAACATAGGAATGTTAAAAAAATAATCATATCTTCTTTCTTTTTAAAAAATGACAATCAAACAGCTATAGACACAAATTTAAAAGATACAGAGCATGACTTGCAATTCTAATGAATAAAAACTTTAGAAAAGTTAATATAAAGATACATCCAGATTACCAGATTGAGTTTTAAGATGATTTAAGCTTTTGTCTCCTACAACATGAACACCCAAGACCACCCGTAAAGAAAAAAACTTTATTTGAAAAATTCCACCTTCAACAATTTTGAGTGAGTTGACCTGAATATTGGTCTAAAATTTCTAAAATCTAGGAAACAGAAAAACAAAATAAAAAAACCTAGAAAAATGTCTAAATTCTAACAAAATCCTAAAACTAAACATCCTTTTATTTTTTATTTTTTGAGAAAAACAAAAGTCACTATTTTGATATTCTTTTCAAAAGCCAAAAATCACTCTTTTTCATCTGATTGCTTTCCCTTTAATGGCTTGCAAAATTTCCAGTTTTTGAAAAAGCTCCAAATCCAGCTGCTGTTACTTCATAAAAGTAGCATTTTGACACTGGAATATCACACCACTGGTAAATGTTTAATCTCATTTGCATAAAACACTACAGATATAGTTTGTTCTGTAATAGTTAGGAGTAAAAAGTTTCATGTCAACAAGTGAAGAGAAAATTGTAGTACCTTGCTTCTGCGTGCAGAGAAGAGCCAGCATATGGAGATGTTGACAAAAAGACCAGCCACAGATATGAATCGCTCTGGCTCTTTAGCCGTGTCAAGACCAAGAAAAACACCAATGAGGGCCAGAATCACAAGAATGCACAACCTAGAATCATTAACAGGAAATACCGAAAAATTGTCATAAAATATCGAAGGAAATGTTGGGAACACATGAAAACATATGTGGGAGGTTATTGGTACATGGTTACAATGCAAAAACAAGGTTTGGATTATTTATAGAAAAAAAAGGATAAAAATTAATCATCTGTGAATTTTTAAATATTTTCCAAACATTCAAATCTTTTGGTGAATTTCAAGTTTTCTTGAAAAATGCATGTACTCTGGTAATATATGACATGAGAGTAGCATGCAATAATACCAAACAATTTTGGCATTTTGCAAGGTGAACCCAAGGTACATCCCCATACATACAGCTAGATACACTTCAAGATCATAGAAATATGCCTACCATTGTACTTACCATTTCAACCACTTCCACTGGCTATTTATGACAGCAACACAAGGTTTAATACATGCTCTATATATTGCATCTCCCCAGTGTTCACGTATGAACATGTATATCAGACAGAACCAGAGAACCATGGTCAGGCCAAACAGGACTTGAACTTTCTTGAAACCACTAATACAAATAGCAATGATGCTATAGACCAGCAAGATGTTCGTAATGATTATGGTCACAATATTGAAGTTATGACGTCTCCATATTTCTCCAAACTTGCTCATTTCAGGGATATCCACAAATACTTGAGTCTTAATTCTTCTAGTAGGGAGTGGGCTATCATCATCATCAATCTTCAAGGCCTTTTTGGAATCAGCAATTCCTGACATCTCTAACTGATCAGTCTGATTAAAAAAATAAAGATAAAACATATTTCTCCAAAGTCTTTTTTTAAATGCATCATTATTATTCAACCATTTAAATTAGAGTATGAATAGCCGGGAGCAAGTATAAATATAAACAATTGTACTATGGATTATTTTTTACAGTAAAAAATGGTTTTGACAACTGTTTTTTCCCTGTGCTCCTCTTACAACCTGCTGAGTGTACTCGCCTGACTTTTTAATTGCTCAGCCATCAAGTGAGCAGCAACACTAATCTTGCACTGGTGGTCTTCCTGTGTTACAGATGCTAGCTAAAATCTCAATTTGAGAAATTTTGTGTCGGTTTGTGAAGATGATTTTTGGAGCCTCCAGTACTTTTGACCTGGGGTCATTAAATCGTGCATTAGAACATGTGTGTTTCTCAAGCTGTGGCTTGTCAAGATTAATAGACCCTTTTTGAGTTCCAAATTACCGCTGTGTTCCTACTTGATTACAGACTCATTTACTCAGGCTTAGCCTCGCATCAGTGTTTAAATATTTAAAAATACCAAGGGTAAAGTAAAGGATGCACAACTCCAACAATACAAACATTGACAGACCTTGACTGAGACACGAGAATATACTTATCTTGACCTTCAAGGGTCGCGGCGTTTACAATGGATTTGTTCCCTGAAGTTTTCACATGAAACACTTTATTTACAATGAACTAAGCAAATATTTTATAGAAATTCGTTTAGAAATTTATTTCATTTCATTTGACTTCATTCAAGTTTGTAAATTACTGATTTATTCCAGCGAATTCTCGTTAGTTGTCTCGAGCGACATCTATGTGAGTGGATTTTTACCTTCGCAGTTAACTGGGAGTTAACATACAAGAATATTGCTTCGGCTCTTTGTGATGTCCGATGATCAATCTACTTTTTATTCAGAACAGCTTATTTGGATGACAAAACTAGCCGAATTTTCTTCAAGACTGAACTAATCTAATGAAAAGTTCTTTTTTCAATGCATCCAGCTCTTACCTATGAGTCTTCTGAAAAAAACTAAATGTGTTAATGATTTTACATATTCGTTTCTGTTTATTTTAACACATCAACAATAAAAGGTTTGACTCATTAGAGTGCTCACACTAAATCCGTGAAACAAATACTAATTTTTAGCACTAAATAGTGATAATTAAACAATAGAAAACAAAGGCTTTGTGCTTGTTAGTGTCATGTAATTATAAGTAATACCATGGCAATGAGGGATATTAGTGTTTAAATGTCCCCGAAGCCGAGGGAGGTTTAGTGGAAGGCCTGAGGCCGTAGGCCGAGGGACTCTTACTAAACCTCCCGAGGCAGAGGGGACATTTAATTACTAATATCCCGAAATTGCCATGGTATTGTAATACCATGATTTCCGAGAAAATTAAAGAAAACGAATCGTCAAAAACTTAGTGAACTTGAATACTAATAAGTTGCTATAACTGTCTAATCCATCTATCTGAATTACCGTCTCAAGGGAGATATAAAACTTTGTACCTCATGTTTTTGTTTTATCCGTGTAAACATTGGCAAAATATTTGGCAAATTGGTAGCATACTAAGGCCTACTTAATTCTAGCCTACTAAATCAAAATTCATTGTTTAATAAACTTTGACTGAATGATTACTCTTGGAAGCACAAGTAAGAGAGTGTTTGGTTAGCAAAATGATAATTAAAACTTAAAATGTTTTCTTAAAACTACTTCAATGACATAATTTTTTTTTTTAAGAACTCTCATTGGAATGTCTTTTTGTTAACACAGAAAACATATAAATTAAGGAATAAATTTTTGCTCGTGGAAGCTTGTAAAGAGGTGGAAGAAATCGGAGCGACAGCAATTAATTTGGGTAGCATTAATATGCAAGGAGTGAATTTAACCAATTTTAGCATAAACATTAATATTAACAAGTAACGTTCAATTGGAAAAATTAAACATTTATTATTACAATCAGTTCTAAATAAGTGGTTGAATAAACATTAACTTCTTGCTTTTTGTTTCAAAATGGCTTTGCACATGCGTGAAGGCTGCCCTTGCACCGAGAAAATTAACATTTGTGTAAAACATTAGATTGTAACAAGTTGGTAATTTTAGTCCATTATAACGCATGCGCAAAGTTTGTCCTAGCATGTAGAATCCGACTCTAAGACCAATTTCTCTATCCTACATTGAATAAAGCCTGTGGCAGGGTGGTATACATCCTCATTAAAAATGCATCAGATTTCGAACCGGGTCATTTTTGACTCGGTGTCCCGATGATTACGTTACATGAGGGACAACCTCTCATGAATAACATGAGGGATATTTAGTTTCTAAATATCCCTCATTCATATGGATGAGGGACGATAATAAGTAATCTTCCCTCATTCATATGGATGAGGAATATTTAGTTTCTAAATTTCCTTCATGTCATTCATGAGGGAGGGATGTTAGTGATCAAACGTCCCTCCAAAAACAATGGATCCCGAGGTGATCATGGTATTACATTTGTAATCAGACGACGCAAGACAATCGATAAATGTTGAATCATCGATCTGCTAACATTTTAGAGCGAGTGAGACATTTGCATATTCAGACCCCTCACAATAACTCATTCCTAAGCTTTGTATATCAACGAGTTAAAAATTAGTTAAGAATGTAAACAAATAAAGTTATCAAATAGTTTGGGGTTAATAAGAGCTACAGTTTGACATGCTGTTAAAAAAGAATTCTGAAAGTTATAAAAATACATCTCAAACTAAAAAAATTTTTTATATTATTTATAACAACTTAAAGATTTCAAAGGAAAATAGTCTAGTTAGAACAAAAGGATTTTGCTGCCTTAGATGTTGGTCATGCTGCTTGATCTGACTCATAAAGCAATCAATACAAGGCTATCTGATAAAAAAAGAAAACAACCCCTGGCACAGAGTGTTTGCAAAGTGAATTACTTTTTATTATCTAAACTCCATAATTTAGAAGAATCATAAGCATTGCCGTTATTATAAGTAATACCATTCATGAGGAATAGCCCCTCATTTACAATCACCGGGTACTGGGTCCTGAGGACCCAATGGAAACAATAGTTTGCGATTTCTTCAAGACTCACCTCCACACATCTACACATGTGGGGCGCAAATGAATTATTTATGACGCATGCGTTATGCAGTGTCTCATTTATTTCATTAATACCATGATTTTCAAGGAAATCAAAGAACATAGAATGACTTGAAAACTGATTTAGAGTGGTTTTCATAAACCTGTGAAATAAAGTGTAACTAATAAAGTGTAACAGTGAAATGACAACAAAAGAACACAATGGCATTAGAGAGTCCTAAAGTGTATTAGACTAAAGTGTATTTCACAGGTTTATGAAAACCACTCTAAGTTAAATTACTTGAATACTAATAAGTTGTTTTCAAGTGTGTCTAATCTATATCGTCTCAAGCGAGAACTTGAATTCGAAGTGAAAAATATTTTCTTTGTTTGATTTGTGTTTAAATTTGCAAATGTTTAGCATACTGAGCTGCTCTGTTAGGAAGCTCATTAGAAGAGGTCAGAACCTACAGAAGGGAGAATCAAGGCGATGCTTGAAGGTGTCCATTGCCCTAAATAACACAACGAAAAGTACGAGCCCCAGCCAAAATGAAGATGATGTACTGCTTGTCTCAGCATGTGAAGAGTATGAAGAGAAGACAGAGAAATTGAGCACAAGAGTTAATTTGGGAGAAGTTTTGTAAGGAGCAACTTTAAAGAATGTCAAAATCACTATCAAGGTTAATACACATGCGCAATAAAAAAATGTCTGTTTAAACTAAATAAGAAAAATATATATGTTACAATTATTTCTTCTGTGTGAATTATTAGTAAATAAATAAAAAAACGCAAACACAAAAATTGATCTAGTGTGTATGTTTAATCAAACGCATAAACCAATTCCTCTATCCTCTTACGAGGATGACATACTATCTTATTAGTAATGCATCTGATTTGGAACCGGGTCTTTTAGACTCGGTGCCCGATGATTGCGAGCTGGTCTGTCTGCCTCGACCAACCAAGAGTCCCGATGATTGTTTTGATCGTCAGTTTAATATGAAATATCATATTGCTAAGACTTGTAGTGCTGGATTTTTCTACCTTCACAACCTGAGGCACATCTGCAAGTACCTATCCCAAACTGCTACTGAAACACCAGAGCTTTCAATATTTTTTGGAGTAAGCGGTTATTCCCAAATAGTAGGGGACACTGATACCTGTTATCTAGGAGGGTTTGGGGGTATGCCCCCCATAAAAATTTTGTAAATTTAGAACCTCAGAAATGCAGTTTCCAGCGATTTGGGCATCAATTTCAACTTAATGTGAACAGTTACATAATGTAAAATTCGTCATTGTCTACCCTTAATAAACCTATATTATTTAATACATCGCCTGATGATTTGAAATAAGATGAACAAGTACAACAAATAAAAACAACTTTTTGTCAACACTTAACTCTTATTTAAAATTATTACCATAATTATTATACGATAAAAAAAGATTGAATATCACTCGCCATTTTGTTTGTTTGGAACACTGCTTGTCTTAGCTACCACAGGAAGCACACACGTTATATTACCCAGAGCCCTTTGCACTCTATATCTTTATTTGGTAATGAATGGAATTTCAGTCCCCTTTTTTATCAATTACCCATCGTCTTCCGTATTGAATTCAAAATACTATTGATCACATTTAAGGCTCTACGTGGACTTGCTCCATTGTACATTCAAGAACTTATTGTACAAAAGCAGCATAAATGTTATAATTTAGGATCAAACGAAGGTCTAACGCTTCAGTATTTTTCATCATGGTCTTACTCGACACTGGGAAATCGAGTGTTCATGGTTGCCACGCCAGTTCTATAGAACTGATTGCCACCTCCTATGAGAAACACTGACAGTATAAATGAATTTAAAAGCCTAG